ATGGCCCTCAGTGAAAGAACGGATTTTTTCATCTTCCTTTTTCTTTTTGAAATTCTTTGCTTGCTTTTTTTTCTCTTACTACGTCGCACCCATCCACAAATATGTCCTCATTCCATTTTGTTTCGACATGGTTCTATCAATACCGCCTCAACTGTCACTTTTTATAATATTTCATATTTCTCCTTATTTGTAAGCCTCAATGGTTCACTCACCTTTTCTCTTTTCTTTCCCTCTTTTTCTTTTCCCTGTCGAGCGGATACAGGCACAGACAAGCGCACGCAAGTATATAGACACACACACACTCACACACACGCATACACAGATGCATACACACGTATAAATATGCCAGTACAGACACACATATCCGGACAAATATTAGCACACACATATGCACTTACCTGCGTTCATTTTATTTTACTGTCGTTCATGACATTTTCTTTTTATTTCATATTTTATTTAATCTTATCCGACCTATAAAATAAAGCAGAAACGCATACACGCGTATACACATACACGCTCGCAAACATGCACATACATACACAACAATATAAAAAGACACATTCAGATCGGGACACTTCAGTGCGCGCGTGTGTGCTTTAGAATAAAGCACACACACACGTACACACATACGCACGCATGCTTATGCATACACAACAATACAAAAAGACACATTCAGATCTTCACACAGTCGGACTCCAGAAGAAAGCACACACGCGTACGCACACACATGAACGCACGCTTGCATATGCATACACACCGATACAAATAAACTTACACATCTACGCACAATATGACCTCTGAATGAAGTACACACGCACACACATACACTCACACACGCGAACACACCCACGCACACACGTACATAAGTACACAACGATACAGAAGGACACATACAGATCTAAAGACAATCTGACCTCAGAAAAAAAGCACACATGGACACACATACACGAAGACAGGCAGACACACTTGTACATGTACACAGCGATACAACGACACAGATCTGGACACAATCTGACCTCAGAATAAAACACACACGGGTACACTTCCCTCAAACGCATTCATATATATATATATATATATATATATATATATATATATATATATATACAAACCTATACATAAAGACACATAGAGATCTGGATAGACACACATCCACACACGTGACTTCTCTTTATTTTACCCCCGTTCATGCCGCCATTTTATTTTTAGTTTATATTTCATTTCATCTTATCCGACCACAGAATAAATTAGGGGATCTGATTGTCGCAATTTCGAAAACCTCCATGACCCTTTGACCTTTTTACTGCAGCAAACAACGTCGAAATAATAATTCCAGACTGGGTGGAAATAGAAATATTTCTTCTTTGGTGCTTTATTTAATTCGTTACGCCACTGAAACAAAATTATCTCAAACCTACTAACCTTAAAAATGAACTTACCTCAGAGAAAACAGAATTATTTTGGCTCGTGACAATAACAAAATTCAACAGAGACAGATCGAAATAAATCCAGTGGGATTTGGAACTGGGAGATTGTTGACGAGTTTACCAATTTCTAGTCAGCTCCTTATCAGTTATGTGACATGCGTGGTACTCACTTAGGCGATCATGTATCTTTCGATTCGAGGCAGACTTTTTTCCTGCAGTCGGTTGCCATTTCTTTCTGTGGTAGACCAGTTTCCATCAAAGGCTATAGAACCCGGCCTGTCCTGCTATTTATCCATATTTGGGGGTGAGAGATGACAAGGATTCATACCTTTCCCAAGGGTATTAGTACGTCATTCAGTTATATAACATGCTTGATACTCGCTTAGGCGATCATATATCTTTTGATATATGACTGACGAGGCAGATTTTTTCACGCAGTAGTTTGCCATTTCTTTCTGCAGTAGACCAGTTGCCATCCAAGGCTTTAGAACCCGGTCTGTCCTATTTACACATAGATGGGAGTGGGGGAAAAAGACGATTCATACCTTTTCCAAATGTATTAGTACGTAAGTGAATATAATGGATTTGATTGGAATTCGAACTCGGCTTTCCGATTCATCAATCCAAGCCACCGTAAAGAATCTGATTCTAAATATTATGCTCTATCTTTACAAGAGTCAAATCAAACCAACAGGTCCTGTCTTTCCAGCTTTGGCATACTTCAAAAGCATTTCCACGGCCTTGCGTGTGATGAATTATTTTCTATCCTACAGTTTTCTAAAGAGTAAACGTCGTACGACTATCGTCACTCTATCGACATTTCGATGGAAAATGTTCAGATTAGCTACATTCTCCAGTTTAACCGTAGTTTAGTATTTGCAGCTCAGACCCATCATGCCATCTTTACAGGATTAACTCAATCTCATTACATTGCTCTCATCATATATCTTTTTTCTTCTCTTTTGTCCTGTTTCCAGTTTATTGGGTCGTGAGGTTGACCTTTGTTCCTCTCTTTCTCCTTCTCAAAATAGTTGTGTATATCAAAAGTATTGGCCTTGTATAGCTGACAAATA